ATATTTTTAAATAAACAATATAATTATTCACAATTTTTAAATGATCATTTCAAAGTAACACTATTGTATATAATAATAATAATAATAATAATAATAATAATAATAATAATATTCAATCGTCATGTTGTAAAGTTTTCCTATTAATCAGTTAAACTGTATTCGACGTGTATTATAATAAAAAATTACCATTTACTTTAAAAAAAAAGCTTTAAACATTTTAGTACAAAGTATTAACAATATTCTTTCTTCGTATTACCAATAAAAATTGCATACTACGTATTTATGTTGTTTGTATTTATATTATTTCTTGGCAATATTTAAGTTTCTTTCTTCTCTTAAATAACAATAACCCTTTCAACACAACTCTTTCAAAACAATGAAATTGTTTTATTTTCCATAGAATAAATTCTTTTGTCTTTGTAAAAAATTTGTAATGGAAAGGCAATGTAATTGTTCTACGTTCAACATGTATACTCTTATTTGTTCTAAATTTGAATTACACATCTTGCGTGTGTATACAAATTTTTCCCATTAAAATTTTACAATTAATTGATTAAATACTAATTAAATATTACTTTTTATAAATATTTAAATATAATAATAATAATAAATAATCATAACATTACAATACGAGTAAATAATACGTACAATTTTCATTTCAAATCATTCAAAATTTCAATATTAATAAGAAGATAATTTAAACAAGGTAAGAAAAAAATAAAAAAAAGGGTTATAGAAGAAAGAAGTGGAAAAATTAATGAATGATTGAAGAAAACCAACAGAATGGACAATGTCCTCTCTCTCTCTCTCTCTCTCTCTCTCTCTGTCTCTCGATGTGGTCGCTGACTGTGTGGATAGAAGGAAAAAGAAAACGAAAATGAGAAAGTATGAGAGAGTGGGCAAGGAAAAAGAGTGTGGGGAAGGGATTGTGAAGAGAATCGTGGATAATCCTTCTATAATCCGCGAATCATTCTCGGGAATGAATCTTTCTATCGATCCAAAAAAGGGGAATATAATTGAAAAACTTGCTACTTTGTCATAAAGAAAGAAAAAAAATTAAATAGAAAAAAAAAAAGAAAGAAGGAAAACCTTAGATGGTTAATAGAAAATTATTTTTTTCTTTCTTAATCATTTTCAAAACAAAAATAAAATAAATATAAATGTAAATGTTAAATGGACAAATTAATATTATAAATATAAAATATGTTATATATATATATATATATATATATATATATATATATATTAGATTTGTCTAAATATTGGCAAGAAAAAACTTGCTACTTTCTTTGTCGTAAAGAAAAAATAAAATTAACTCTTAGAGTGCTATCAACGCATATACGTGTTTGTTAATATTAATATAAAATAATGTAATGTTTATATTAATTAATTAAATTATATTCACACAGAAACAAAAACTTTAATTATTAAATATAATTTATTATTAGAGAATCAAGTTAATAATAAATAATTCCGTTCCTAAAAAACATTTTAGTTAAAAGTATGCTGCACTCAAAGGGTTTCAAAAAAAAAAAAAAATAAAAGCAAAAGAAAGAAAAAACGTTAGATGATTAATAGAATGTAAATAGGATGTCTCATATTAATTCCGATAAAAAAATATTTTTAAACTTCTAGCAATATGTCAAAGAGATCAAAAAACAGAAAAAAGGGGGAAAAAAATAAAGAGAAAAAGATGTAGAAGGCATTATCGTCGTCGCACCTCTAAAATTCGATTCGATTCGTTTCCTGCGTCGTGCTCCTTTCGAATTTCCGCCTTTTCGAAATAACTTTCGTAGCAAGGAAGTTTGGCTAGCTACCTACCAACCTACCAACCTACCTACCTACCTACCAACCTACGCAAGACTTCTAAAACGAAATCGAGTTAAAATCGATCTTCCGTATACTTTCACGTACATGCTTCACATACGTGTACACACATATATATACACATGTAAGAATGAAAGAAAGAAAGCAAATAAAAAAAAAAAAGAGTACGATAAAGTACAAAAGTTTCCACTAACAATAAAGGGATAGACGAAATTCTCGAATTTTCTCGATTCGATTGAAAAATATTATACTTTGATGGAGCTTAAAATTCAACTTTACCCTTTTACTAGAACTATTTTCAAACGTAAATAATGCTTTTCTACTATGGAAAGAAAGAAAGGATGAGGTAGTTGGAGTGGGTGGGATGTGAGCAGGATAGTTTGAAGGAAAAGAAACATATAACCGTACGATTCTGATTGCACTATTCTTTCTCTCTCTCTCTCTCTCTCTCTCTCTCTCTTTCTCTCTTTCTCTCTTTCTCTTCTTACGAGAATCGCGTGACACACACGTGTGTTAGAACTGATAGTGGATCGAGCCAAAGTGTTGGAAGTTTGAAAATTTTACGAGAAACACACGTCACACGATGTTGCTACAGTTACGACAGTCACGATGGTGCCTAGAATGTGAACAGGAGGATGAGGAAAAGGAGGTGGAGGTGAAGGAGGAGTAGGAGGAGAACTTCTCCACTCCCTGTTCTCGCGAAATAAGCTCGTTCACGGTTCACTGCGACTCAATTTCAACCGTAGTTACATAACGGACGTTGCTGTAGCTAGCTAGCACGCTCGTCGTCCCTTCGTTCCTGTTACCTCTCCTTCTTCCTCCTTCTCCTCCTCTTCCTCTTCATCCTCATCCTCATCCTCCTCCTCCTCATTCGTTTAACGTTATCAACGTCGTGTTTGCGCGTGATGGCCCATCCGCGTACACCCGGACAGATTGCAACATCGATCGATAAATAGCAAGATCCCTATCACATACTCCTACAACACGATCAACTATAATAAGGAGGATAATTATTTAACATGTTAGGGTTATACAGAAATACTTTTTTTTTCAACCCTTTCTTACACTCGCACGATGATTAGTTTTTTTTTTTTTCTTAAGTGAAAACTTCTTTAAAATGAGTGTGATTTGAAAAAATGAAACGCGGTGATGTAGTGAGGGAAAGAAACGGCCTTAATTTCATATAAAATACTAAATATTATTCTAATAATATGCATAAATTAATTACAATATTAAAGTTCAATTTGTATCATTATTTATAAAAATATTTGATTTGTAAACATTTTTTAAAGCGTTTTATTATTTACTTTCTTTGTAATGATTATAAAAATACGAGCCTGTATGAATGCAACCCTCCGGATAGACTATGAAAATGTTGCTTGCGAGCGTCATCTGTCGGGACGGAATATTTTTCTGCCCGAAAGATAGGCAACCCGTCATACAAACGTGTATAAACAGTTTTAACTGCAAAAAAATTTCGTCCCAGTAGATAGCGCTCGCAAGCAGCATTTTCAAAGTGTGCCCGGAGGGTTGCATACGAACTGGCGCTCATTTTTATAATTTAAATTAATAAWTAAATAAATAATTACAAATTAAAAGTACAAATAATATTATAATAATATTATATAATAAATTATCCTCGAAAATTGTTTATTTGAAGGTTTCATTTCTAACTTGTGTAATATGCACACATGTATTTTTTTTTTAACAAATGTTTAACCGTTTCAGAATCACATTTTTTTTATTAATAAAACTATAGTAAAGAATGAAGAATTGAAGAAAAGAAACAACGAAAAAGAACAATGTCCATAATCGTAGAAACGTTGGTATGAAATTCGCGATAAATTGGCCAAGTAGATTGCCAATTGGCTATGATAGGTGATCAGCAGCAACGTTCTCTTTTTGAAATGGTCCTCGATTTGAATCCGATCCAAAATAGTAGTGTAGATAGTATAGACTATTTGCTATAGAACCCTTTTTTTGTCTCGGCCAAAATCGAAAAAGATATGCTATAATATTTTATTCTGCTTCTTTTTTTTCTATACGTATATATCAAAAAGATAAAAATAACTTATCACATTTTCTACATAATGTAAAATCCTTTTTACAAACTATGAACAGATCTCATTCATTTGAGAGAAAATCATTGATAAATCATTGATAAATATGACAAAAAATAAATAAAAACGTATGTAATACAATGCATAGGATAAAAATATAAAAGAGGGTCAATCTAAAAAAATAGAAAAAAAACCCTACATAGTTTGAATCGAACACGAGAAATAAAGACAGCATAACTATGGGAAAAAGAGAAAGACAAAAAGATAGGTGGGTGGTGGGAGGAGGTGTAGGAGGAGAGAGAGCGTGCTCACATCGGTCTCCATTTGTCACGGTAATAATCGCACGACCTGCAACCGTGCGTGACTCAATTAGTCTGATATCGATAGGGCGGATCGTTAATAAGCCAAGAGGTCGTTAGACGCACGGTAGAGCGAGTTTCGTTTCCATTTAAAAAACTAGCCGAACGCGTAATTAATTCCTAGTCCTTCCTACTCCAACCCCCACCCCAACCCCCCTTCTCTAGGATCGATATAATTAATGTCGTAGCAGGAAACCTAGATCGGTTCGTTCGATTATATATATATATATATTTTAACTTCCGCATTAATTCTGAATCGAACAAACGAACATAATGCACGTGTGGGGTTACGTATATGTAATATATATGTATGTATATAAGTTACACATATCTAGTATATATATATGTATATATGAGTACAACTCAAATCGCAGTTTCTATACGCTGTCGTCTTAGAAAATCTATCGTACCCGTAGTAGTAATTCGAAAACGATTGTTCGAAATTTATGAGAACCCATTAAGAACGATATCCCCGTACATTCACCCAAGGAAAATGCCTAGTCCTGATTCCTGGCGCAATAAAAGAGTCGCATGGCAGTTGTTCTATTTTGTTCTCAAATCGAATTCGAGTATACACGATATATATATAACACAACATTGAAAATATAATGGTGAATCTTTATCTAATGGTTGGAGAACATGTTTATCTTGTATATTGATACAAGTAGAATTATAATAATAATAATAATAAAATGTAATATACAACCTATAAATATACCCTTAATTTTGATTTTCTTATTCTTGTATTTTTCAGCAGTGAGCTCTATGAGACCGATAGACAATAACAATTGCGTAGTGGTTCAAGATATCAAGGCTGTGACTCATGAAAACGCTCACGTTCACGATCCTATATCAACGCAGATACCAACGGAAGGTAAATATTGAGCAGCCCGTTAATTTGCATCCACTTTGCATGATGTAAATACTCTAGTGAACAACGTCTCACGATGATTGCTTTTGGGAGATGGACGGATGGTGTTCACGTTTTACGTGCCACCCGTTTTCGTTCTACTTCCCCCCATCTATATCTATATCCCACTAACCTCCACCCTTTTCGCATCAAAACCACCATCACATCCCTTTTCAAAACCGCGAATGAGTCTCTAGTTATCTCTCTCTCTCTCTCTCTCTCTCTTTCTCTTTCTATTTCTATTCGTTTATGTATGATAGTACACAGTGAGATTAATAACGCTATGAATACGATTGCTATAGTATGAAATAAACACACGATGAGTTAGAGAAATCCAAGTTGTGTCAATTTTTCTCTTTCTATTTTACTAGCTCTCTCTCTCTCTCTCTATTTTTTTATAGTAGTTCGGTAGTTTGATCTTAAATTCAGATTATTATACTTTTACTCGATGTGTTTAACGATTATTCAAATATTTAACATTCATTTTCTATACCTTCGAGTTGTTTTCATCGATTCTCAAAACCCACCCCATCCATTTATTTTAGTTTCAAAATGTTATACCTGTTATAACTTTAAATTGTAATAGATATATAAAATATATTTTTAAAGAAGAAAAAACAAAATTCAATACATGGATAAAAGATAAATAAATAAAAAAAAAAATACATTAACTAACGTATGTAAATAAGCTATGATAGATAATCTAAGTAAGCATAGTTGAAAATACCTTACGTTATCGAAAGTTGATAAATTTAAAAAAAAAAATAAAGAATACAATATAAAATAAAATGAAATTTGAAAATGTAGATATTGACTCCTCGCGTGCCATACATTTTGAAAATGGCTAGGTAAACGTAACTGCATTGACCGCATCAGCCCAGTAGGAGGAAATCGAATACGCTCGATAGAGTTTCATTCCTGAGGGAAATGGAAAGTATCAAAACGCAGAGATGTACTCTGAGGGCTCGTGAAAACGTCTACGTTATTGGTACGATGATAAAATCATTATTTAATGGTTACAAAAATACATCAATTTAGTATATTAAAGCTGTGAGTAATGACTAATAAAAAAAAAAGCCCCAAAAAAATAAATAACTGAAGAGAGAACAGGAAAGAAAAAAAAAGAATGATTTCCTCTAAAAAAAAAAAATAGTAAAACACACAAAGATCGTTTTGTTTATAATTAAAACGTGATTTATATTCGATCACGCCATAGTGTGTTATATAAAATAACAGCTTTGCTCGTGATAATTAATCGATGATCTTTGCAAGCCACCCTCGATATATCTCGAATTTTATCTGATTCATATTTATTATACACCACCTTATCCGTGTAAAAATGTTAATCGAGTTTTCCCCTTTGCTTTTCCGACGAATAATCGTCACGTTGTTTTAAAACACGCGAACTGTATCCAGTTCGTATAATATCTATCCAAATTTATACAACTAAGTACTACTATATATATATATATATATACTCTCATACTCTCATAAACTACTTTGCAAACTTCTTATTTGTTTGATCTTTAATTATTAAAAATAAAACGAAAAGAGATGGTAAAATTTCCGAGGACAAATTAATGCTCCAATGTCATTTGAAAAAGAAATAATCTTCTGAATAGGGCGTGGCAATTTTTCTACCGGTCACCCGGTAGAAAAAAGAGAGAGAGATACTCCGAAATCAATAGAAGGGCATCGCTCATAAATTGGAGGGAATGAATGCAAACGGGAAAAGAGGAATAGGGAGAGGTGGTGAGGTAGAAGAGTAAGAGGAGCAAAAGGGAGAGAAAGAAAGAGGAAGGAAACTCATTCGAATGCCGCTCGCTTTCTTTTGCATTTGCATTTTACAATCCCTTAATGTTCTTACGCACTCGACTCCAGAAGTACGATTCCACTTTCAAGCCCAGCACCAGCACCCTTTTCTACCTCTCCCACCACAAACGTTTCCACCTTTCCTCCCTTTTTCCTCAATGTGCTATTAAATATTAAACATATAGAGTTTTTCTTTTTAAAACGTTACGTATGAGTAAAAAAAAACCATAACATTTAGAAGCACATTTGATGAAATTGTAAAAATGCAAAGAACAAAATGAATACTAATCATGTTAATTAATTTATAATTTATAGAATCATTACCCACCAGTACTGCTGAACACTCTAGTGCGGCGGACAGTGTCGGTGAACAACAAAGCGATCCACAAATTCAACAATCAGCCCAACAATGGCCAGCAGTACTCGAGCTTCAAGCTTACAACGTAGCCCATTCGGCCGTAATACCGCCATATTACTTTTGGAATACCGAATTTCGTAACAAACAGCCAGCATTCATCAGGTTAAACCTAACGTTACCCTGGGGTGCAAACTTTGCCGTTTATGGTAGAAGAAACGTGGCACCTAGTGTCACGCAATACGATTTCGTTGAGTTTGTAAAAGGTGGACGTGTTGATCATAGACTTAAAAGGGATGCAACGTCCGAAGCTGTTAGCTTTATGAAACAAGCAACCCAAGATTTTGGTATCGAACCTAATCGATCTAGATCCCGTGAGACCGGACCTAAATCTATTAAGTCTTATCAACATATACTTGTCAAAAGAACCATCGTAGAACCGATGATGGTCAACGTTAGTCTTCTTCAATATTTGGACACTGGCCGTTGGTTCTTATCAGTTTATAACGATGAACTTCAACCGTACAAGGTAACGCTGGTCGTCACCGAAGCTGAAGGTGTATCAACTACTTGTGCTAACGATTGTTCCGGTAGAGGATCCTGTTATCTTGGTAAATGTGATTGCATCGATGGTTATCAGGTAATTAATGATTATATTAATAATAATAATAATAATAATACACGAACAAATATAAAAAGCAAGGTTAGTTTTAACGAAATAATTGAATTGTAATACAACTTCATCTATTGAAATTTTATAGTACCTAGAAACTTAGATAACCTCTAAATAACAAAATCTTTAATTAGCAATAAAAAATAACAAATAATCGCGACAAAAACTATCCTATTTTAGTTAGAATTTTATTTAAAAATATCCTTATTTACTAAATAATTTAGAATTATATTTAAATCGACATTTTCTAACAAAGTCACAGCAACGCATAGCTAGTAAAGTAATTATATATTATAGTATTAAATAATATATATTATCCAATAATATATTAATATATATTTGATATAAATATAGGACAATAATATAACGTTCCGTTATATCAGATATTTGTTATAAGACAATTTGATTGAATTTTATTTCATTTCCTTCTCCTTTCTTCCTTTTCGAATTAAGGTTAAATCAATTGTTTGTTTCCAGGGTGCCGACTGTAGCAAAAGCGTGTGTCCTGTTTTGTGTTCGTCTCACGGCCAGTACGGCGGTGGCATGTGTCACTGTGAGGATGGCTGGAAAGGTGCCGAATGCGACATACCGTTAGGAGATTGCCAAGTTCCTGATTGCAATCAGCATGGACAGTGCGTTAGAGGATCGTGCGTTTGTAATTCTGGCTGGAAGGGTGCCTTCTGTAACGAACGTAAGTCCACTTCTCGAAATTAAACTAAACTTCACGATAGACTACTATTCAAATGTATATGTGTGAAGATAACAAGTGGATACAAGACACACACACACACACACACACTTACGTATTATTATACATGAATGAGATGAGAATAGTTTTCGATTATCTTAAAACCATTTCAAGATATTTTAGTAATATATGGTAAATGTGAATTTTTTTTCTCCTTTTCTTTTTTTTCTTTTTTTTTTTTTTTTTAACCAACGTTTAAGAAATATCAGAAACTTCATAAAGATTTAAAAAAAAAAAGATCTTTTCTTTTGATTTTTTTTCTCATTACATTTTTTCTAAAACGAAATTAAAATCAAACATTTACTCAACCGTGTAACACGTTTGCTATTTGAAAGATTAGATTCTCTTAAAACGTAAATGTTTCCGGTAGTAATAAAAGTAATCCGTTGTGTCAGGGAAAAAAGTTCGAATATGTTAAAAGGCCAAGCTTAACGTGTACACCTTTTAACAAATTCTCTTTACGTTTATAGAGAAAGAACAGAAAGAACAGAAAGAAAGAAAAAAAGGAATGAGTGAGTGAAAGAGAGAGAAAGTGAACGAATGAATGGTAAAGAAGATTAGAACGTAAGCTAGCATACTATAAAACTGTTTCAAAGAAAATGTACAAAGTACAAGGAGTATAGAAAAGCTTCTATTATTTAAAAGGTATTTCTCTTTGTATTTTATTTTTTTTCTTAAAATATATCAAGAAAAATGAAAGAATAATTACAAAAAAATATATATATATATAAACCTCATTAACAAATTTTGTTTGAATGAGACGATAAAAAAAAAACTGTAAAAGTATCGAAACGTATGGAGGAAGAAAAAAAGACATGGGTAATATTAAAGTTCTTCGTATCTATCAAAGTACCATTAAATTCACCATAATTCAAGTTTATGCTCGAGACCGTGGTGTCCTATATCCAAGGAAGATCCATGATATTAGTAATGCACAGTGTCTACCAAGGATTCTACAGAGAACACATAGCTTTCTTCCCCTATACTATACATATATGTATGTGTATATATATATATATATATAGCAACCTATAATTAATGCGCACGACGTTCTCCAAATTTACATATAGGTCAAACCGTGCCGATTCGAGTCCAACAATTAGTTTAACCGCTTTCGCATTGTTTTCGGTAGAGAAATTTGAATTTTACACGAACACACGGGGGGGGAGGTTGTGTAAAACAGGTGGATGGTAATAACGAACGAAATGAGATGAATGAAAAGGAGAGTGGGAATAGAATACAAATATAGCAAGCAAATATCTCTAAAAGCTCATTCTCATTTTGATCTACATATTTCAATACATATATATATATATGTATAATATATGTATACCTTCTAGTGAAAATATTTCGAAGAATATTTGTTTCAAAGAAAAATTACTTTATACCTCTTACCCCCACTCTCTTCCAACCCCCTATCCACGACTGGCTTCTAAATGGTAAAATTATTCTTCAACGTAAAGAGAACGCTTTGTCTCTGACACTTTCAGACAGATTCACCGATCGACCTCAAGACTTCTTTATTCTTTCTTCTATTTTTCTGTTGGACGAAAATAACTCGAGAAAAGTTCTACCACGGGAAAAGACAAATTTAAAAAAGAAAGAAAAAAGAAAAGGAAAAAAGAAACCGTTTACTATTACTTTACGCTTGTTCTCAAATGTATGTTTATATAACATATATATATATATATATATATAATATAATTTGTGAAAAGTAGAACACGTTAACGCACACCCCTTTCCTTCTTTCTCGAATCCATTGAATCTTACGTAAAAAGGATTCTTTCTCAATGATGTTCGTGAGATAGCATTCTTTCCTTCTACAGACTGTGACGCTTTGTTCACAATAAACGTCGAAATAAGAAGAAGAAGAAGAAGAAGAAGAAGAAGAAGAAGAAGAAGAAGATGAAGAAAAGGAGAACGTAAAGAAGAAAAAAATAAAAATAAAAGTAAAAAAAAAAATAAAAGGAAAAGTTAGAGAGTAGTAGTAGGCAACAATATTACGTCCCCGTTCGATCACTGTCGCGCATACTTCACGTTTAAAAGAAACCCACGAGAAATTCCAATGGTACTGTAGGTCAAGTGAGAGACGACGACGACGACGACACCATCACCACCACCATCACGTAAAACGGGTCCTGGGATATATTAACGTTCTCTTCGTTTCTCCCATAGACTACGACGACGTTCTTTCGTGAATGAAAGAAACCGAAAGAAAGAAATAGAAAGAGAAAGATATAGTAACCATTCGCGTTTACGTTTCTGCGTCTCAGGGAGATCCCCGTTGGAAATTAAGTTTCATAATTTCCCCGGGGCGAGCGCTGTATCCGCGGGGATAATGCAATTGTTCCGATGCCCGTAATTTAAAAAGTTGCCAGAACCGGGGGACAACTCTGTGTCGTCGTCCTCGTCGTCGTCGTCGTCGTCGTCGTAGTCGTAGTCGTCGTCGTCGTCGAGCTTCTACGAAAACGAAAGAGAAAACGTTGTCGTAGTAGTTTTTTTTCTGCAAAATCGTCCGACTGTTTAAAACTACTCGAGTTTAGATTCGTTCGTTTGGTTTGTTATTTCGTTTTTCTTTTTTTTCAGATTTAAATAAGACATTTCTCTCTTTCCAGCCTACCACCAAAACTCCCCAACCCCATCCACTATACTTTTTCTCTTTTATTTTCTACTTATATTTGAATAATAATATTATCTCTGAAAAAAAATAAAAGATAAACAACAAGTATGTCGATTAAATTAAATTTGATTGTTATTTATATCGGATCTCACATATACACGTGTAGTATGCGAATTCGTACTCTCTCAATCCTCTTTTCACGATAGGCATATATACTCGCATACGTACATAGATACCAACCACCCCATACATGCACATGTACACACATAGGTAACCGGAGTTGTACAGAGAGAGTACCTACATAATTTAATCGATATTCCGAAACTCTGACGAAATTGCACTGAAGTTTCGTGGACGAGACGTCGTCGAAAAGCGAATAGAGAGAATGAGGGATAAAGAGAGAGAGAGTGAGAGAGTGAGAGAGAGAGAGAGACATGCGATTAATCGAGAACAACCCTTTATCGTTTCCAGCCGATTGTCCGGATCCAAACTGCAGCGGTCATGGCGCCTGCGTGTCCGGCAAATGTTACTGCAAGGCAGGATGGCAGGGTGAACGATGCAATCAGGTCGATCAGCAGGTGTATCAGTGTCTACCGGGTTGTTCGGACCATGGCACGTACGACCTAGAGTCTGCTGCGTGCATCTGCGAGGAACATTGGACTGGGGTCGATTGTTCACAGTCCAGTTGCGGCCTCAACTGTGGTTCTCATGGATCCTGCGAACAGGGTCGTTGCAAGTCAGTATTAATTATGTTCTTTCTCTGTTTCATCTATTTTATTCTTTTTCTTTTTTATTCAATTGAATAAATTAATTATTATAAACTATTGGATACACTATTTTCTATAATTATTACATTTAATTCGAATTATATTTATTATAAGAAATTTAGAAATTTAAAAAAGCAACACTTTATACTTCGTCGATAAGGTAGCACGTTAATATTATTTATCGGTAAAAAAATACTTGTTAATTCTTCTTTTTTGTTTTTTATACGCGTTTTATGTAAAACAAAAAAATTTAAAAAAAGGTTCATAAAAGGTAGGTATACCTTTATAAAAATATTATCGACGAAATAAGATTGAATTCCTGTCATAAGGGGGGAAATAATACGCAATACAACGACGAGGAATTATAATTTCAAACACTTATTTCGATGTCGGTAGCATAAGGAAGTTTCTGCGATCTTGACTAAAAATGGGTAAATTGCTCGGAGCAAAAGGGGACGAGAGGGAAGGGGTGGTTGTGAAAGTCGTTTTGGTTAAAAAGGTGAAAAATTGTGAGAAAAAAGCTAGATTATGTCTTACGAAGAAAAGAGGGGTAGAAAGAGGGTTAGGGGAGTGGGGTGTCCCAACTTATCACAACTCGAAGGACCTCCCGTCTCTTTTTCTACTTTCCTTTGTCAGAATCAAGGACAAGAGAGGGAGAGAATCTCCTTTCTCATATTCCAAAGCTGACGCCTGCCTTTCCTCTCTTCTTCCCTTTCTTTCTTTCTTTTTCTTTACTTCCTTCCTTCCTTCCTTCCTTCCTTCCTTCCTTCCTCTCTTTCATTGGGCCAGAGTTCGCCTCGTAAAAGAGCCCCTATAAGTGCAAAAAGTTCTCTTTCCGCGGTTAGGATAACTTTCTGAACTGAAGTTTAAACTCACATTTTTTATTATAAACGATAGAAACTCAACACCAACGAATAGATTTTTCGTATTCAAAAGTGAAGAACATTTGGCGCTTTTTAACCTGTTCTCTTTCTTTCTTGCTTTCTTTCTTTCTTTCTTTCTCTGTTTTTCTTGATGAGAAAACATTGATCGAAATTTCAAAATTATTTCTATGACTAACTAAAGGAAATGCATGTACAAACTTTTACATTTATTTTCTTTCAAACAATTCAAATATTGAATCTTACAGTTTGATAAATGTCTACAATTGTGTTTAATGTTTAAAATTTGTATCATGTAAATTAAATTCTATCCTTGTTAATTGAACTATCATTTATCATCGTCACGAATTTAAAGAAATTAGATAAATTTATTAAAATGATCCTAACATATGTTTCGTTTCTATTTTACAGATGATTTAAATTTTAATTCGTAATATGTTATTTGTTAAAATTTTCTTTAGATGTCACGACGATTGGACGGGAACAAAATGCGATCAGAAACCATGTGATCCACGTTGCGCAGAACATGGTCAATGTAAAAATGGTACTTGCGTGTGTAGTCAAGGATGGAACGGAAGACATTGTACTTTACGTAAGTAAATTCACTTATTGTACTCCTTGTTTTTTTTTTTGGAATTTAATTTGTTTTGACTTTTACACATCTAAATATAACCTTTAAATGTATCTTTTTTCAGCCGGATGCGAGAATGGTTGCAGTAGACACGGATTGTGCACATTGCAAGATGGCGAGTACAGTTGCGAATGTTCCATTGGTTGGGCCGGTAGAGACTGTAGTATACGACTCGAAATGGAATGCAACGATATGATCGACAATGATGGGGGTATGCACTTCTAAATAATAATTCATTTAAAAATAAATACTAATTAAATTCAATGTAAATTAAACACTAAACTTAATCCGACCCTTGACCTATACTTATTTCTACCTTAACCTATCAAAAATGACTGTTTTTACAAAATAAAATCAAAATATATATCTACAAAATGAAATTTTAGCTAATTAAATATCGAATAAAATATTTTCTTATATTTTTTACAAATAATAGAACTTGATTGGACATTTAGTGTTAAAAATATACGATTGTTTTAATGATTAAAATATAAATCGCGTGTAATCAAATATTATTGTTCATTTAGATGGCATGATGGATTGTTCCGATAGCGAATGTTGCTCACACGCAACTTGTGCCGATCACATTATGTGTCTTGCAAGTAAAAATCCTGTTGACGTGCTATTAAGAAAACAACCACCTAGTGTAACTGCATCGTTTTATCAACGAGTCAAGTTCCTCGTCGAGGAGAATAGCGTTCAGAGTTACGCACACATGGACGAATACACGGAAAGGTAAGATCGAACTGTTCTTAAAATCTTTTATCACACCGTTATTTATATATCATATATATTATTTATATATATTTTTTTTTTTTAATTTAATCTGTAAAAAAAAAAGACTAATCATATATACGATCTAGCGAGCTTAGTTCATTATTTTCATAACATTTACATAGGAGAGGATAACATATGATTGATCGAGTTAATTATAATCAAATTGTTTAGTTTTTTAATTCATTTTCTCTAATCTTGCAAGTAGATTGTTTATGATAAAAAATAGTATATTAAAAATAAAGATTTAACGTTTGTTGTATTTATTATAATTTCGATTAATAATCAACTCGATCGATTTCTATAATATCTCGAAATAATAGCATAGCTGCGTATCATAGTTTGGCCTTTTTTTAGGAATTCTATAATAAGTGCGGGTATCGATATTAATTTTTTTTTTTTTTTTATTTCTAATTTCTAACGTAATTCAATGAACAAAACTAAGAAAACACGCTTAAAAAAAAAAAACATCGAGTTTTCGTTTACAAATTTTCGTTAATTAACGATTAACGGTACGTCGTGTCATTATAAAATTATATATAAATAATGCGAACTTAAAAAATACAACAACAAAAAAGTCGCATATAAAACAATACATAGAACACATCAATGATCTGAAAAAAAAAAATATATCAAATTCGTGTTTGAACTCGGTTGTTGTTTTTCCAAATGAAAAAGAAAAAAAAAAAGAAGAAAAAAAATAAAAGAGAAGAAAAAAAAAAAAAGAAGAAAAAATAAGAAGAAGCAAAAATTCATGGCATTATGATTCGTTATGGGTGCAACAACGGTTTACGATGGGATTTGACAGTTTTTTCATGGAAAATTGTTTGAAAAAATATCCAAAATTATTTCTCTTTGAATTGTTTTTTTCCCTATTTTTGTAAACAACAATTTTAATAATATTCTTAGGATAATAATTAGAAGAAAAAAACAGATAAAAAATAAAATAATAATTATAATAATAATAATGTTTGGAAAAAGAAATTCAAGATAATTGCAGTACAGAGTTTGATTAGAAGATCTCAATTCAAGATGATATTATAATTAAATGTTTAAAAATGAAGAATATCTATAATACAAATTGTATATTGTTTATAATATAAAATCAAGTATCTCCTTTTCACCCATCGTGAACAGTCGTTGAACGTGACGATAATTCGATCAAATTGATTGGTATCGTATAAAAAACCGTTTTATCCAGCATATCAGCGACAGTTGAGAGTTGTCAGGAGAAGCCCCCGGTGGGTGACAACCCTTACAATCTCCGATTATCCTTTTTCCTTGTGTTTCAACCCTTCCCTCCCCCGAATGCCGAATGCATCATCGATCGCCTTGAAAAGTCAATATTGATCGATGGGAAAACGCATATATTATTATAATAATATTATTTATTTGAAATAACTCCCGACAATTCGTGTCTATTCATGTATACAATGGGGTATTTTTCTTTTTATTTATTTTTAATATATCACATTAATTAACATTTATTTAATACACATTTTATCACCGAGATCATCATATAGTTTTGATGTTACATATTATTAAATAAACTAACTAGAGAAGTACGCGATATTTATTTGAATTTTTTTTTCCTTGTTATTTATTAACAAGCTACCGGGCGGGATGAGGGGGCGAGGGGGGCGTTTTTGGGTCTCGTGCAATTAATTATATAATTATTATCTCAAAGAGTACATTTGAATTCATTCGTGCATCAAATATTGTACTAATTAATGAGATTCGTTTTATCGATATTTCAATTTAAAATTCATTTCGTATCTCTATCTATCATTCTCTTTTATTATTTTGTATTAAATTTTATTTACATACAAATATTCTATATGTATATATATACATAAAACATAGTTTTTATACGTGCTGCGGTTTCCTCGTTCGGTATTAAACGAGATAGGCGAGTTGGATGCATGCGAGATCCTTTTCACGAAGGATCTGCTAGGAGCATTTCGGGGGATTCGTGTATTTTGTCTAGTGTTGATCCTCTGTGTGTACCCTACCACCACCAGATTCACCAATCACCTTTCTCTAACAGTCGAAGACCGAAAATAGATAAGCTCTTTCCGTATTGCAAACGGACCGGACGATAAAAAAAGACCCGCATCTTAAAAAATGTTTATTAGAAATGCAAAAGCTAATGAAAATTTAAAAAAAAAATATATATTCAAGAGAGAAAAAAGATACAAAAAAAAAAAGAACAAAAATAAGAAAAAGAAGAAGAAGAATAATAAGAATGAAAAAAAAAACGAAAAAAAAAAAAAATAAAAACAGAAACGAAGAAAAATATAAATGAGTATAAAATAATATTAAAATTGTTGAATTATAATGTTTATATAAATATTTAAAATATACGCGAGAGAAATTCATTATGATGATATATATTTATTGCTACGCGTTATATACTTACGAATATATATATATTTTTAGGTGTTAATCCCGTGACATATACGTGTGTGTATATGTATATGTAACATATATGTCCATATACACATACACACACAAAAATATAAACAATATATAATATAATTGAAAAAAAGGAAAAAATATTTTCGTAGGAAAGAAAAGAAAAGAAAAGAAAAGAAAAAAAAAAGAAAATATATATATATCGATGAAAAAATATTTTGTCTATTGAGAAAAAATTGTTCTTTAAATTTTATTTACTTATTTATAATTATTAATACTTATTTAATTTGTTTTAGACAATTTTTTCCAAATTATTTATAATAAATAAATCGTTGTTTATGTCGATCGTTAAATAATTATCAACGAAAGGTTTCGTAGATTTAAATGAACGAATGGTCGTAGTCCATCGAACATCGGTGGTAAATTTGATGCTGACGAAAAGCAATTAATGGCTTAACGTAAACTATAAATATTTATCTATGGGTCCCGTGACCCATCTCCTACCCCTTTACCCCACTTCTAACCGAATATCCTCGTCTACCCAAGCTCGGAATTGGGTAGAAACGAAAGAGGACGAACTAGTAGTAGGATCACTCTAATTGCTATGAAAAAACACGTGACTTCGACCAATCGTTCGTCAATGTCGACGAAAGAGATAATTTAAAAAAAAAAAAAAAAAGATAAAAAATTAAAAAAAAACAACGAAAAAAAATAAATAGGAAAGATATATTATTTTCTTTTTCTTTTTTTTTTCTATTCTTATTATATATATATACATTTTTTTTCCTTTTTTTTTTTGGATCTTCGTAATTAGTTTTATTTTTCTTTTTTTTTCTCTCTAAAGGTAATAAGAACAGAAAAAGATAAAAAAAGAAAAGATAAGCGTATAAATATTATCTTAGGAACTCTTTGGTAGACACAAGTTTGAAATTTTCGTTTTGTATATATATTTTATTATTTTTCTCTTGTTTCTCCAAATAAAAAAAATAAAACAATAAAAAAAATGCAATTGTACCATTTATATATGTATATATATATAGACACGTAATATTTTATTTCTAAATTGTAAATCATCACTATCGCGTATGGTTACACAGTACTCGCGAAAAAGATCCAATCGAAAGGGTGAAACTTTCCTCTATTTTTTTATCCAAATTTTTATAACATAATATTAAATAAATTATTACATCAATAAGAAGAAAAAAGTAATCAAAAGTTTGCTTAAATTTATTTTTAAATATATTTTCTTTTTCTTTACCAATTGTTCTCCTCAAATTACCAAACTAAACTGTGATTTTATTTCACAAAACATAAATTTTAATTTAAATAAACAAAATCATATACACTAACTTTTTAGTTAATTTATTTATTCTTATAAATAAAAAAATAAAAAAAAAAGAATTTTTCTCTCCCTTATTATTTATATATTCTTTCATCGTATTTGTTTTTTATTTTATCGTTTTTTTTTTTTTTACCGATATCAATTTGATGTTGTTTTACGATAAGGACCCACCCTTTCGATAATTAATTCCACTCACTTTCACTCACTCACTCACTCACTCACTCTCTTCATCTTTATCTTTATCTTTCTCTTTCATGACTAATATCAAAATCGTTTGGATATCGTAATCAATGTTCAAAAGAGGATCCCATATCTCAAAACGTTCGTAGAGAGATCTATCAGTAGCCAGAAAAAAAATCTCTTCTCGCATTCGAAACGATCCCAAGGGGGATAAATGGGATGGGATCATTTCTCTCTCTTTTTTTCTCATACACTTTCTTTCATATTTTCTCTCTCGTGAGAAAGTACTTCAGGAAATACACCCACGCGTTCGATCCTTGAGATAAAAAGATTTCTTCTTCTGGACTAATACGTAAATTTGATAACAACAACTACCAACATCAACGATAAGAAAAAATAAACTTGACAAAATAAATTAATTATCAATAAGATTCAATCATTTTTCAATACACGTAAATATCCCGTTAATATTTACATATATATATACATCAAATATAAATGATACATTTGTTAAGTATGCGTATATATATATATATATATATATATATGCATATCAAACAATTTTTAATATATTATATATATATATTATTAATATTTAATATATTTTTATATATATATTATATTTTTATATATATATACATATAATTATTATTAAATTTATAGTTTTATAATAATTTATAAAATATGTAAAATAATTTTATATAATTTATAAAAATTATGATTAAAATATTAAATATATATATATATATATATATATAATTATTTATATTTTATTATTATTTAATTTATATAAACACACACAATCATATATTTTATATATGTATATATCATATACATATGTGTGTGTGTGTGTGTACGCTGCGTAGTTTCCAACTTGTGTCTGTCACATTGTTATACCACTCTATGTTGAATGAGTCTGAGAGTGTATGAGTTATGTTGAGCGACTGTGAGGATAGAATGTATGATGGGTACGCTTGATTAGTGTGTGTCTACGTCTATTGTTTCTGTAATGGCGTGCGTAACATTGCGAGGAGCACTCGATTTCTCGGTTCTATCTAACTCTCTCTCTCTCTCTCTTTCTCTTTTCTTTCACTTTCTCTCTCTCTCTCTCTCTCTCATTCTCTCACTCTCTCTCTCTCTCTCAATCTTTCTCTTTCTATTTCACTCGTTGTCAGTCATTTTCTCTCTCTATCTCTCTTACTCACTCATTCTCTCTCTCTCTTTTTTCTTCACGGTTAAATAATAACATTTTTTTTTCTTTCTTTCTTTTTCTCGTATATAAACTATAGTTTTAAATAAAATTGTTCTCAATATATTGTTCTCAATGCTAAAGTAATTATTAAAGCAAGATTATTTTATAATAAATGATGATTATGATAATTATGATGATGATTATAATTAATTACGCGAGTATACGTGAAAATCGCGAATTTTCGGATCTAAATACTTTATCTATTTCTCAATCTTTAACTTCACTTTCAATCTCACTCTCACTCTCTTTCTTTCTCTCTCTCTCTCTCTTCTTCTCTTTTTCTTTCTGTCTATCTGTCTGTCTGTCTGTCTTTCGAACTATGGCGTTAAACGATAAACGTCGACAAAAAAAAAAATAATATTCTCTCGCTCGTCAAACGTAGACTCTTGTCCTGAATTATTTTTTTTTTATTTTTTTTCTTATAAATAAATAAAAAGAAAAAAAAATGATAGGAAATATAAAATCGAGAAAAAGAAGAAAGAAATAATAATAATAAAAAAAAAAAAAAACAGAAAAAATGAGTATTAAATAACCGAGAAAAAAAAGGAGCGAGAGAGATTGACCTGGTGGGAGGGGTACGAGTATTTGTGTTAAAAAAAAAAAAAATAGAAAATGATCGAGTATAATCAAAAAAAAGAACAAACGCAAAATGATGCGAATACTTAGATTGATCAAAAGAAAAAGAAAATTAATTAACTATGTATAAAACATGTTAACGCGAATTTTGAAATACGGTTGCTCGCGCAATGCTGCGTACGCGCATCCGTTTTTTTACCCGCAAAATGCGTGGGTTCTGTGACCGTGGTAACGCCCTTTCTTCTCGTTGGTTTTTTCCCACACGTAGTACGTTCTGGAGTTCCTTTACACCGCGGTAAGTTGCAGCAGCTCAAGCTCTCGCTAATCGTTCATTATCCAAAAATACCAAAACCAAAACCAATACCAAGCCAAGCCAAGCCAATAAAAAAAAAAAAATAATAATTAGAAAAAAAATATTACTCTCTCTCTCTCTCTCTCTATCTCTCTCTCTCTCTCTCTATCTATCTATCTATCTATCTCTCTCTCTCTCTCTCTTTCTATTATATATATACCAGTAACATCTCTACTGCTCGTCTCGCTCGTACATTCATCTTTTACATGTTTTTTCGTATGGCCCATGTATCTCTCTCTCTCTCTCTCTATTTCTTTATTTCTCTCTTTCTGTCTCTCACCCTCTCTCTTCCTCCCTCTCTCTCTCTGTCTTTTTAAGTATATCATACCCTTTAGCCTGTATACCACATTTCTTTTAACTCATTACAAACTTCGTCAACTTTTTCTTTACTTCGCTATATTAATTTTTGTTTCAACCCGCCCCGTCCCCCCACTCCCCCCTGTCTCACCCTCTTTTTAATTATTTTGTTGTATCTCTCTCTCTCTCACACTCTCACTTTAGTGTTCCTTCATTTCTTCGTTCATCGTCCTACCCACTCTAATTTATTTTTTTTTTCATCCCCCACATTTTCTTTTTCCTTCTCAGTTTCAATTTCTGTTTCTGTTTACATCCGTGTTTGATCATACTTCTACAGTAACCATACCCATAATGAGTTCGAATTAAGTATCCTACCTTTTTCCCCATTTGCAAATGTTTGATCAGATCTCTATCGGCTTGTTTGTTTTATTTCGAAAGCCTATAACTCTCCCCCGCCACCCCTTTTCATCCTACCCTTTTTTATTTTTTAACCAACATACGTATATATACCTGTTTAACATACATCAATCGACTCATTCCTCACTTTCTCATTATTATTTTTCTTTCGTATTATTTTCATCCCCCTCTCTCTCCCCTTCTCTCTCTCTCTCTCTCTCTCTCTCTTTCTCTTTCTGTTTTTCATTCTATCTTTCCATGTTTCGCTATCTTTCAACTAACACCCTACGGGCCACGAATTCGCGTTGATTTGCACAGAAAATTCACCAAAAACTTGAATATTTTTCCTTAAATAATATTATACTAATCTCGTTAGTTCATTCAAGGTTATCAAAGACAAAAAAAAATTTTTCCTCTCGTATCACTTGCACTTGAAAATATCAAATGACCGATTTCAAGATCTTTTATTTTTTTTATAGAGTCTTAATAAATCATTAAATAAACAAAAAATATACAGACAAAGAAACACTCAAACAAAATATAAAAATTAATAATAAATAAAAGAAAAGGTGCGAATCTAACGAATCGTAGTCTATTAGGGTTTTCTCTTTCTCTCTCTCTCTCTCTCTCTCTTTCACACTTTCTCTCTTTCTCTCTCTCTCTCTCTCTTTTCATACCTAACTATACTCATTATGTATTAAAAAAAAAAAAAAATGCCGTACGAATTGTCTCTGTGTTATCTGTGATATGTCGTCAGATTGTTGTCTATCACCTGGCCTTTGAACCACCCCTGCCGGCCCCTCCACCCAACCTTTTTGCCAACCCTTAATCTTTTCTTTATTTTGGTTATGTCTTGTCTCTTATATATTTATTGTTAAAGACCCCTTTTTTTCTACCCTACATCCCTTAGTACGTTATAGCCATGATATATATTATACGTATAATAATGGTATGTTACGGTATCGTGTACTTTTATCGAATCCTGGTCTTGTGTTGTTTGTGTTGCCAGGCTTGCACTTTTATGTATGACCCTGTCGAACTTGTCTAATAGTAAACGTCCTATATTTTTTTTTTTTTTAGCATTAAATATTATAAATTACACACGAACACACATACGCTGAACTTTATTCGGCGTGCCTAATTGCGTATAAATCTTTCGTTCTGTTTTTCATTAACCTATACTTTCCTTTATTATATAAATATATATATATATATACATATACGAATATATATATACGAGAGAGAAGAAAAAAAAAATTACCAAAGAAATATTATTAATGTGCAACAATATTTTTCGTTTATTCAAAAAATCGATGTTTGAATTAATGAAAAAAAAAAAAAAAAACAGAAATTAAAAAATAGTAATATTGTTAAATTAAAACAGAAAGAAAGAATAATGAAAAAAAAAAAAATTAATAAATTTATATACTCTATTAATTATTATATATATGAGAACACACACATATGCACATGCATACACGCACACACTCGATCACACACACTTAAAAATAATAAACATACATACATACACAGAGTTCGTTCGTCTTTACGAGTCGGGATAAAAGTTAAAAAATAAAAAAAAAAAATTAAAAAAAAGGAAAACAAGAAAAGAAAAGATAAAAAAAAAAAAGAAATTAAATCATTATCGTTCTAAGAGTACTGTGTGTCGGTACCGTATCGCTTAAGACGAAGGACCACAACCCTAAATGACCGTCCCAACCTCTTTGTCCCTTGTCTGCGTCTGTTTATCACCTGTCTACGATGTACCAACAACCAAAACCCCCTTTTAACCTTAAAAACCATCACCAATATCACTAATATATATCACTGATATATTACCACCACCAATTACCACCACCAATCACCGAATTACCTTGTGTCTGTCTTCTTCGATCCGATCCGATAAAATTATTTATCTGACCCACCGAGAAAAGAAATAACAAAAAAAAAATTAAAGAACAAAAATTTGTATCAATTCAATCGATCGGAAAACCAAAAAAAAAAACAAAATTATCAAATTTAATGAGATCGGTAATGATCGGTAAAACAAAAATTCCCCCCCCCCTTACAAAAAAAAAGAAATAAAAAACGAAAAGAAGAAAAAAAGAAAATTACAAAAAAAATTTACGTAGACAGTTTGATAAGAGATAAAAAAAAAATTAAAAAAAAAAAACAAACGAACAAACAAACAAGAAAAAAAAATAAAGAAAAGGGATAAATTTTTCATAATAAATTAATAATAAAGTAATATTAATAATTATTATACGAAAGAAAAATTAAAAACAAACAGATAAATCAATCAAAAAAAAAAAAAAAAAGAAAAAAAAGAAAGAATTCCGAAAAGGAAAAGAAAAAAAAAACGCACTCACGAAACCGTTTTGCTTCGCGATTATGCGCCCCGTACGTCTCAACTCCGATTCCGTCTCTCTATTTTCTAATATTTAATAATAATTAATTAAAAATTATTAAATAAAGATTAAATAAAAATTCATTAATTCTTATATCAATTATTCCAACCTTGTTTAACTTATTAATACTAATTGTTATCTATCACAATTCGTTTGAAAAATACAGGAAATATTTAGAAATGAAAAAAAAAATTAGAAAAATAAAAAAAATTGGAACATATCGAAGGGCAAATATTTTCACCCTTTTTCTCAACTTTCCATACGAATGAATAATTTAATAAATGTATGTTCCCCAAGCGCGTATATATTTATGATACATGGTATACGTAAAAGTTCATCTAAATTGCAGCAAATCAAAAGAAAAAAAACAAACAAACAAACAAAGAAAAATGAATAAAACAAAAACAAAAATAGAGAAAAAGAATCGAAGTGTGACGTGTCGGGTTGCATCCCTTACGCGTCATTCGAATTTTTTTCAACCGAGACACCGTTCGTTCACTTTTTAGTTTTCTCTATTTCATATATATATATGTATATAAATATATATATATAAATATATATATGTATATATATATATTTATATATGTGTGTGTATATATGTATGTATGTATATACATTCTTTAGGTTGGTGTCTGTTTACATTAAAGATCTCTCTCAGTGTGTTCGAAACTTATCTGTTTTATTCAACATTTATTTTCTTTCTCTCTCTCTCTCTCTCTCTTTCTCTCTTACTCACTCTCTATCTATCTATATCTCTCTTTCTCACACTTTTTTTATATCTAAATATATATATCAATTTTTTTTTTATTCTTTTTCTTTGTACCATTCACTATGGTTTGGACTTACAGTAGTGAGACGACTGTGCCTGCCACCTTGCTGTGCTCGTACTTGGAGGATCAACTCCCCAGCAAAATGTTTGATCCTCAAGGTCCTACGAATGACGGCACGGGTGCATCGTTATGATTTACATAATATATGAAAAAAAAAGAAAATAATAAAAACATCGATTCGCGGGGGAAGTGTAATCCTCCAAGAACGAAAATGACCCCATATGCAATCCCTTAGGGACTGATAATTTTCTTTATAAATATATATATACACCCATGTATAAGTAAATATGTCAATCTAAATACATAATAGCATACTCACACGCATTTAATTAACTACATATATTTATTTATACATTAAAGAGGTACTTATGTATATGGTTTGATTACACTAGTATGTTATTCTTACTTGCACACATGTAGCATATACATAGAGGAAGAGAAACAGACATAGGATAAACCAAAGAGAAATTGTATCTTGCAAATTTAGCCTTACATCTCGTAGTAACTACAAACTGTGACGACTATGACGACTATGACTCTGACGACTCTGACGATGACTTTGAGGATGACTTTGACTACGACGTTGTTCTAAAGCTTCGTCCTTTGAACGATATCGTGTAACAAACCTTATGCATATATGCATATACCATAGCGTATATATAAATATATATACACACACACATATATATATATATATACATATATATATTGTATCTACCTCGTTCTACCTTTAACATCGATTTTCATTATTATAATCAGCACCAAATATACACACACAAAATCGCTTGAAATTATTCATTCCGCTTTTAACATATTCCGTCTTTTATCGCAGATAAAATCCAGTTGCGAAACCTTCACCAACCCAACGTTGCCCTTCAACATTTGACATACCCAAAAATTATATACAATATATATATATAAATATATATTTATTTCACGCGTAAATACATATCTTATACATGTGGTGTATATATATATATATAATATATAATATATATACAATATATATATATATATATTTATGCATGCTTTCTATCACCAAATACAAAATTTTCCAAGAGTCATTATCAAACCATTCCCTATACCTCACCTCTATCTCTATCTTTCTCTCTTTCTTTCTGTCTATATTTATATATCTATATACATATATATACATACATATATACATATATATATATATATATAGATATATCTATCTATCTATCTCTTTCACTCTCTTACACGCAACCTGCCTCGCGTCAAATTAGCATCTTTTTCATCCCGTAATTCAAAACCCAGCAAGCTATAAATAAAAAAAAAAAGACAACCCCCTCACCCAAAACAAACAAACAAACACAAAAAAAAAAAAGAAAAAAAAAGACACTAAGAAACATAGTTGTTCCCACTTCGCCGCCGTCGTCTCGTCGTCGACCTAATTTTTTTTTTTTATTCGCGAGAAGAGAGGAGGAGGAGGAGGAGGAAGAACGTAACGTGCATATCCGTTTTTAGTGCACGAAACCCTCGACTTTGTAACACAAAACTAACCTCAAAATTATCCAAGCACCCTTTTGCAATCACGGAAATATAGTTTTTTTCTTTTTCTTTTTTTTTTCTTTTTATAAAATTGATTGAAACACATCTATTGTTGTTAGTATTATCATTATTATTATTATTATTATTATTATTATTATTATTATTATTGTTAATATTATCGCTTCTCGATCGAAACCAGGCAGTGCATCATCAGACTGCATCGTGCACCTTCGCATTCCAAAGAAAATCCTGCCATTGCCCTTTTCTTTTTCTTTTTTCTTTTTGTTTCTCTTTTTCTCAACCCCCTAGCCCCATCTACACCTCTTTTATTGCTCGCGCGGTTTTCCCCCCTTCGCATATTTTTTTGCCGTATATATATATATATTTATATCTTTCTCTCTCTCTCTCTCTCTTTCTCTCTCTCTTTCTATTTTGTTTTGCTTGATTCGTTAAACGAACGACGGCCGCACGTAAGCCGCACGAATGCCGCACGTAAAATGGGGTTGCGGATCGCATTGGCAGCGAAGTGAGAATATTGACTCGCGTCGAAACGTACTATTTCGCGGGAACCTGATGATTTTACTTGACACATGTGTAATAGATACATTTGTATATTTTTTGAGGATTCAAAATTGATATAAATCGCATCAATGTTTAATTTTGATCATTTGAAATAAAACGTGTTTTTTCTTATTGCGATATTTGTCCTCATTTTCATTCCATTTGTTTTCTTGTCTAGTCTTGTCTTGTCTTATCTAACGATTGGATTGATTAGAATATTTTTAATTTATTCATGATGAAAATTTATTTTACTTACGATCGTACAACATCGGGATAAGTTCTTTTGCAAATAAAAGAAATGGTATCAGCATTCCGCGAATTTGTACGTTTCGACGAACGTGGTCCTACTTTCGAGGACCTGGATATATCTTTGATTTGTAACAGTCGTGTTGCGGTGATGAGAGGACAAGTTGTAACCGAGCAAGGACTTGGAATAGTAGGCATCAGAGTCTCCGTCGACAGGGACTCAAGATTTGGATTCACATTGACTAGAGCTGACGGATGGTAAGAATTATTTTTCATTTTTATTTCTACTATGATAATTAAATTGTTATTTTTAATAAAATCTATATATATAACAAATAGATCATTAATCGTTTTAAAAGGATACGATGGTAAACATATCCTGATTAAAAAAACCAACGAAAAAATATAATCGTACATAGAAGTGTGGTAGATAAAATTAATTCGTTCCTCGAATTGACTTAATTTTTTTTTCTTCTTTTCACAATTTCTCTAATTTATATTTTCCTTTTTTAATTTAAAAGTATCATTAACCTCCCTCTCTCTTTCTCTCTCTTTCTCAGTTTATTGCGACGAAAAATCAGGTCGCAAATGCTACATTTAAAAAAGCATGATTTTCTCTCTCTTACTCTATTCCTCTTCCTTTTTAAGTCTTTTTATGACAAATTTTTTAACGGAAACGGTCAAATCTGTTCACTAATTAACGTAGTATATATATATATAGATATATATGTACATCAAAGGTATACGTAATATTAGCATTTACATATGACGGACGCAACATGTATGGCTAGGGTTTTGAACGTCCTTCGTAATAGGATCAGCCTTGCATTGTAATGAAGGGAGGGAGACATGGAACACCTATATCAGACAGGTATATAGTAATCCTAGTGAGGATAATCCTGAAATACGGAGCTGGAGGAGTTGGGACGGTAGACCACATCAAAGCCTCTGCTAATGATGTCGAAAGCTTGCTAATTACTCCGTGCAAATCTATCTGATTAGCCCGACCTCCGTTCCCAACCACCCTCTACCCTCTTACCCATCTCCCCCTCTCCTACAAACCTCCGATTACTCTCTGAATTTTCCTGTAATGTATCAAATTGTGGATAGGAAACATTACCAAACTGGTGTCCAACAAACTCATTGACGTAATATCTTAATATTTTAACACTATATTTGTTTAGTGACAATCTTACTTAACACATGTTCTCTCTCTCTCTCTCTTTCTCTGTTGCATTTTGTTTTGATAAATATTACGATTCAATTGCAATAATAATAATAATATTATTATTTATTCGACATATATTAGAATCTATCGTATGAATGATCAAAATCGAAATATTAACGAACGGAGAATGATTAAGGGTTGTAAAAGTATATTATTATTATTATTGGGAATAAAACAAATAAATCAAATCGATTATAAAGTGGGGCTGATCGTTTCAACCGCACAATTTCCATTCGGAAATTCAAATTTTAATAACTTTGTTAAATATTTATGAACGATTGTATAACATAGATATTCTATTGAGATCGATCGTCAAATCATAATAATAATAATATATATATATACGTAGAGTCGTTCGGGATTGAAAAGGTATTTGCATATTTCGATCAGGTTCGACGTTTTGGTTAATGGTGGAGGAGCCGTGACATTGCAATTTCAACGTAGCCCATTCAAACCTCTTACGAGGACTGTGTTCGTGCCATGGAATCAGATAGTTGTTTTACCACCCGTAGTGATGACCCTTAGCAACGAAGGAGAACCTTATAAATCTAATCAACCACCTAGTCCAGCAGTTGGTAAATATCTAACTATACTTATGTTGCAATAATGCAATTATAATAGGTCTTTTGTTTTTATATTTCTATCGTGGAATTTAATTACTTTTAATTATTATTATTATTATTTATCATTATCATCATTTCTAATAAATTTTTATCTCGCGCGCGCGTGTGTAATTTAAAAAAAAAAAAATAATGTTATATAATTAACTTATTTCTCTTCGATGTATATACCATACACACACACATGTGCTGTCTTTGTTCCGTCCTTAAGTGTTATACGTTTTAGTTTCTTTTCATTTATGGCTTACAATATAATAGGCTTCCCAGGGATTTCCATGGGGCTCTTTAGCGAGCACGGACCATGCTTGGAACACGATCACGAGACTCTGCGTCCAATCATCGTTAGCACATGGATGCCAGAAAAAGTGGGTGGTTTGCCAGGGAAAAGTCTGGTATTCGCTGAGAGCCAAGTAAGCCTTACTTAATATGATGTAATTAGTTCACTTCAAGTAATGTCGTCGTTAAGTAAAAACCAATTATTATTATTATTATTATTATTATGAGATTATTAAGGAGACAACATAGTAGATTTTTATATCTTTTTGTGAATTAATGAAAACAATCTTCAATTTTTCACGGCAGATTGTCCAAGAAAGTATCGCAATACCTGGATCTAATCTTCATTTGATGTATCAAAGTAGTCAAGCTGCTGGATACTTATCAACTGTTAGAATGCAATTGACTGGACCATTTATTCCCAAATCGTTAACTCACGTACACGTTCACGTTGAAATCGAGGGTTCGCTTCATACAAAAACATACGAGGCCGACCCCAATTTGACTCACATTTTCGCTTGGAACAAGAGAAATGTCTATAAACAAAAAGTATATGGAGTTGCACAAGCAAGAATTTCAATCGGTTATCAACATTCTACTTGCCTCTCGGTTATATGGGAAACACAAACTGCAATTCTGCAAGGATTTGATGTAGACATTTCCGATATTGGTGGTTGGGGACTTGACATCCATCATCATTACAACTTCCACGAAGGAATCCTTCAAAAAGGAGATGGATCAACGTTACACTTCAAACAATATCCTCGTACTGTCAAAGTTGTAATGGGTACTGGTCTTCAAAGAAATTTGGTCTGTAAAAACTGCGATGGTTTGGCAAAAGATGCTAAACTTTTAACACCGGTAGCACTTACCAGTGGCCCAGATGGTAGCATCTACGTAGGTGACTTTAATCTCGTTCGTAGAATTACACCTGAAGGAAACGTTTATACCGTATTAATTTTGAGGTAATTTAATAATGTTAAAATATCTTACCTGCATATAATCTCTTAATACATTGTATACATATAAAATATCTTAATAATTTTACATAGTGCAACTCAAGTAGCCTATCAATACTATCTATGTATATCCCCTGCCGATGGACATCTGTACATCAGTGATCCTGAAAAACATCAGATATTAAAAGCACTTTCGTTGGAACAAGTTAACGATCCTAGTATAAACATAGAACCAGTTGTTGGTAGCGGTGAAAGATGTATTCCAGGTGACGAGGGTCATTGCGGAGATGAGGGTCCAGCTATACGAGCCAAATTGGCACACCCTAAAGGTAAACAATGATAATTACCGATTATTTAGAATATAAATCAATATGATATTATATTTGGAAAATAATTGGGTGTTATGTTTGTTATTTATGTTATTCAACATAAATCATTTCAATAGATTCTATCTCGTTATGGGTTTATATTATCCTATTAAATTGTAATTTGCTTACTAAACAGGTATCGCCATTGCTGCCGATAAAACCATGTATATAGCCGATGGGACAAATATACGTGCAGTAGATCCACATGGTATTATACATACACTGGTTGGACATCATGGTCATCACAATCATTGGTCACCAGCACCATGCGTAGGTGCTATACCTGCACATCAAGCTCAACTCCAATGGCCGACAGGATTGACGCTAAGTCCACTTGACGGATCACTACATTTCATCGACGACAGGCTTGTACTGAAACTAACCAGTGATCTAAAAGTACGCGTAGTAGCTGGTACACCACTTCATTGTACCAGCAATGCCAATAACAACGGCAATGTCAATATCAGCGAACTCAACAAATTAAATTCAACCTTATCAACGAATATTAAGAAATCTGATGACGTTTTGGGTTCAGTTTTAGCTGTTGGTTTTAGTCCAACCGGTGAACTTTACATAGCCGATAGCGATTCTCATCGAGTTAATTCAATTAGGATAGTTGATTCGTCCGGAAAAATGTCACATTTTGCTGGACAACAACAGGAACGATTACGTGGTCAATGCGAATGTAATAATACGACACCTAGTACGAAAGATTTGGATTCGTGTACCTGTACAGATGATACCAGTAGTACTGAAACACTTTTATCATCTAATGCAAAGTTCACTGCAATATCAGCCTTAGCTGTGTCACCCGATGGTGTTGTTCATGTTGCCGATCAAGGAAGTTTACATATTTTAGCGTTACAACCATATCTTCCAAACCATGATGAAAGCGGCGAGTTCCTTATTCCTTTTCCACCGTCTAATGAAGTTTATGTGTTCAATCGTTACGGTCAACACATATCTACGAGGGATTTAACATCCGGAAAAACTCGGTATTCGTTCCTATACAGTAAAAATACTAGTTTTGGCAAATTATCAACTGTAACTGACAGTGCAGGAAACAAAATACAATTTTTACGAGATTACAGTAGCGTTGTTAGTACAATCGAAAATACTCAAGATCATAAATCTGAATTGAAAATATCTGCCGTTGGTTTTCTTGAAAAATTATCCGAAAGAGGTAGAGCAGAAATTGCATTAGGATATGATGGTTCTACTGGTCTACTAACGAGTCGCTCAGGGGTAATTATATATATATTTTTTATGATGTTTCTTTTTATACCAGAAAGTACTAACAATACATTTTCTTGTTCGAGTTGAGAACAAACCTAATTAAAACTTTTTCCTACCAGGGAGATGAAACTTATATATACAATTACGACAGTTTGGGAAGAGTTACCGATGTCATTTTACCAAGTGGAGAAAAATTAAAATTATCTTCCGATCTTTCTAATGACGAAGGTCTTTCCGTACAAGTATCAGCTCCTCTTCAAGCATTGTCAAAAGGGGATAAACAAAGATTTGTTGAATTTGAAATGAAAAATGAAAGATCTAAAATGCTTACTATCACCGATGGTACGTCATTTGAAAATGATTATAATTTTATTAATTTTTGTCTTTTTTTTATAATTACTAAATATCAATAAAATGATTGTTACAGGTACAAAAATAATGAAAGCAACCGCATTTACTAACAGTAGTTTGTCATTGTGTCTTCCTAGTGGTGGAAGAGTATTAAGTGCAGCAACAACAAAAAATCCTTTACTCGAAGTTTCCTTACCGGTAGAAGCAGAAATGTTACCAATGTGGAGTTACCAAGTAATGTCTCTCGGTGAACTAACAAACACAATGACCACCACTTATAATCTTGTCGGGGACGTAAGCCACTTCCAACAGACACTTAACAGAGAAATTTGGGTAAACGATACCAGAGTAATAGCTGTTGAATTTGAACAAGCATTCAGACGTGAAACTTTCTACGACAAAACTAGAACACCGCTATTAACGGTGACCTTTGATCCAGCCGGATTACCGTTACTTTGGCAACCGCACGAACAAGGACACAACCTTAGTATCACTTACGATAGATTTAATCGTATAGAAAGTTGGCAGTGGGGTGCTTCAGACGAATCTTATGGTTACGATAGGCACGGTCAATTGGCAGAAGTGACCAATAGTCAAGATGGTACTAAACGATACACCTATAACGACTTCAACATGCTTTCCAAGATCACTTTACCAAGTAACAGACACTTTTCATTGGAGTATGATGATGATGGTGGTTTGAGGCATATTATACTTCCATCGGGTACTAAACATTCTTTCTCTTGTCAAGCCTCTTTAGGTTTTCTTAGAGTAACCTATACACCACCAGGAAGTACAAGAGCATATCTTCAACATTATAGTCACGACGGTAATCTTTTACAAACTGTGTTTCCTGGTGATGGTGCACGTATCGTCTATAGGTATCATACGTCCGGACAATTGGCCGAAGTTGTACACGGTGATGGTAAAAGTGAGATAAGATATACCGAAAGTGGTTTACCATCAGAAGTAATACATTCCGAAAGAGACGTAGAATATAAATGGGATTATCAATACAATGCTGGTCTTCTTGTCGAAGAACGTATAGATTTTGGTGCTAAAACTGGATTGAGCAATGCCAAATTTACTTTCGACTATGATTCCAATTTTAGATTGATAGCTGTACAGGGTAGAATAGGTGGTCAAACTTTACCATCTCATACCATGGCTTACAATTCTAGAACCGGTTTGTTGGAACAAATAGGACAATTTAAAATAACGAAACCACAAATAAACGAGACTACGGTGTTCGATGGGACAGCACTTTTTTCACGAATCACCGACGACAGATTTCACGAAACTCAAGTGACCCTAACTATTCACAGTTTGGAAGTATTCAGAATGGAATTTACCCATGATTCTCGTGGACGTATTAATCAAACAAGAACTTATACTCGTAACGTTGCTGTTAACACTTATACCAATGTAAAAAATTATACCTGGGATTGTGATGGACAATTAACTGGTGTGGAAGCACAAGAACCATGGGGTTTCGAATACGATGCAAATGGAAATATGTTATCACTCAGATATCGTGGTAATACTATACCCATGGAATACAATACCATGGATAGAATCATTAAATTTGGCGAGGGTTTATACAAATATGACAATAGAGGTCTTGTCGTTCAAAATGCCAGAGAAGAAAGATTTAATTATAACGCTAAAGGTTTATTGGTTCGTGCAACCAAACGTGGTCGTTTCGACGTACGCTATTATTACGACCATCTTGATCGTTTGGCAACGAGAAAGGATAATTATGGAAACGTTACACAATTCTTTTATAATAATCAAAAACGTCCACACGAAGTTAGCCAAATATATAGTCCCCGTGATGGAAAATTAATGTCATTGGTTTACGATGACAGAGGACATCTGATTTATGCACAAGTTTATCGACATAAATATTACATTGCTACCGATCAATGTGGCACCCCTATAATGATTTTCAATCAATATGGCGAAGGTATAAGAGAAATCATGAGATCCCCATACGGACACATTGTATATGATTCCAATCCTTATTTATACTTACCCGTTGACTTTTGTGGCGGTTTGTTAGATCAGGTGAACTATATTTGTACAAATATTCATTTTTACTATTTCAATTTTATATACATTTGTTTAGTATAAATAGAACAAAATATTAAAATATGATGATACGTTTTTGATAGGTAACGTCGTTGGTTCACATGCCAAATGGGAAGGTTTATGATCCTTTGATAGGTCAATGGATGTCTCCACTTTGGGAAAATGTCGTAGACAGGATAGACAAGCCAACCCATTTACATCTTTACAGATTTAATGGAAACGATCCGATCGATATCAGGCATACGGATAGACCAAATCAACCCACAGGTAAAAATAAATATAAAATTATTAAGACACAAAATATATCTTATCTTATCTTATCTTATTTTATCCTGTTTTTTCTTTTTTAGATCACATATCATGGTTCACACATTTGGGATACGACTTAAAGAGTTTAGCACCCCAATTATTCCCCGACGAGCTTCCGGGTAGTTTGGTACCACCAGCACTTGGTCCAGGTACTTCGATATTTGGGAAAAAGAAAAGAACGAGAAATCTTGGTGTCCAATCCGGCTTTTTAGCTCACATTGCTCAAAGACATTCCGGTGATGCTATGAGCCTTTCGGCACCACCCAGATCAGCACTGAAAAAAGACACTAACGAATTGTTCCCAAGTCGTTTGGGTGCTGCATCAGATCCACCGTTTGGTAAAGGAATCCTTGTTTCAAGAACAGCCGATGGACAGGCTGTAGTTTCGAGTGTACCAACGGCCAATGCAATTTATGGTGACGTTTTTACCTCGGTATTCAATCGTTCGTATTTCTTATCGTTCACGTTCGTCGTACACAGTGCACAACAGGATGCATTTTATTTCGTCAAAGAAGAAACATGGAGAGCTAACGAGGATCGTGGCCAATTGAAACGTTTAGGTGGTCAAGTTAATACGTCGGTTCACGAGAATGACAGCAGCGGTTCGTTGATAGATGTTAAAATACATGGAACAAGTTATGTCGTCAATTTGAGATACGGTACTACCGCGGAAAAGGAAAAACAACGATTACTTCATCATGCAAAAGCAACTGCAATTCGTAAAGCTTGGCACAGAGAACGAGAAGCATTGAAAGCCAATACACCGACAACGAACGAATGGATGGTTACTGAACAAGACGAAATATTGAAGGCTGGTTCTGCATCCAATTACGAAGGGGAATACATACACGATGCACAAATTTATCCCGAATTGGCCGAGGATCCTTATAACATTAGATTCGTCAAAAAAACCGTCGAAACTTCGAGCAAGAAACGACGTAGAAGGAGAGGTGCACCATCTTGCAAGCTATGGTGGTTGGATAAATTTTGCTAGATCCTATATAAATTCGACGTAAAACAAAAAATTATATGCTATGGCACTCCTTTCACTGCCCTTCTTTTTAATCGGTTCATTATATTGTCCAATAAGATCGATTGCTAATATACGAGTTTCTATCTATCTCTCTATCTCTCTCTCTTTCTATCTTTTGTCTAAAAAAAAAAAAAAGAAAGATTCACACGACTTATCGAAACTAAGGCAAAATGAGAAAATAATAAAAGAGAGAGAGAAAGAGAACAAGAGAAAGATAAATTAAGAATGAAGAAATAAAAAAAAAATAATAATAATAATTATAAAGAGAGTTACTAAAAAATAAAGGAGAAAATTACTGTGACATATTTATTATATTCGCAATTTTCTCTTATTATAAACAAGTCGTATAAAGAATGAAAGGGAACGAGAGAAAGAGAAGAAAGAAAAAGATGAAGGATGAAGGACGAAGGATGAAGGATGAAGGATGAAGATGAAGAAGAAGAAGAAGAAAAAAAAATAACGTACTGAACACTATCAAAAAAAGTTTTATACCAAAGTCTATTTGTGTATTTCAAAGATGCCAAAAACACTAACGTTATATGATCTACCGCGATAGGGTGTAGTGTGTAAGCATTAAAACAAATAAAAAAAAAAAATAAAGAGAGAGAGAGAGAGAAAAAAAATAATAACTAATAACTAAACCACATATATGCGTGACGTGGATTACGAATTAATAATAATCTTGCCCGCGAATAAGATTACGCGACCGAACCCGTAATTTGGCAGACGCGCGAAAGCCTTATAATTAATCGGTGCAAGAGCTTTCCATGAAGATGAAGATTATAAAGATAAAGTTGAAGATGAAGATTATGAAGATGAAAATAAAGATAAATATGAAGATGAACTTCTCTTTTTTCAAAATGAGATTTGGTGACTTTTGAAGAACAACTCTCAAGTGTCTATAAATTTGATAGACATAAATATTACGAATGAAATGAAAAAAAAAATAGATTAAAAGAAAGAGAAAGATATATACCATGAGAAGAGAATGATTTTAATTCGGATATATAGGGTATCACAAAAGGACGAAACAAGTAAGTCAGTATATTAAAAAAAAAAAAAAAAAAACAAAAAAAAAAATCTAATGAACGTGGGCGCAGTGTGTGAAACGTAAAAGAAAAAAGAAAACGGAAAGAAAACCGAAGAGGACAAGAAACACCATAGTTTTCTTCAAATTAGTGAAAACCCATGAGTGTGTTGTGGTGGTATGTGTATGTATGTATGCATGTATGTATGTGTGTGTATGTAATTAATAATTGATCGTGTTAGAAATCGACGCGAAAAACGGAAGCGGAAGAGGGATATATTTAAACAAAACAAAACAAAACAAAAAAAGAAAATAAAATGAGAAAAAAAAATTGCGGAAGGAGAAGATGAAAAAAAAAAAAATAAAATAAAATAAAATACAAGCGGGCCATTCGTCGTTGAGGCGAGTCGAGTGAGAGAAACTAGTCAATATATAGCTTTACATTGACGTATAAATTTTTTCATTAGAGTAAGAACGAAAGAGAGAGAGAACGAGAGCGAGAGCGAGAGAGAGAGAGAGAGAGAGAGAGAAAGCTAGTGTTATAACGAATATGAATGTGTGAGAGTGAAAGAGAAATATAAAAAATGCGATACTTGCCGTAAAATGTGAAAAATTGTGTGTACCCATCCATACTACTTGCCCATTTGTATGCGAGCAATACTTCGTCGTCGTCATCATCGTACTTAGATAGAAGAAAGAAAGAAAGAAAGAAAGAAAGATGAAGGAGTTTTAAAAGAAATGTGAATTTACGGGGGAAAGGAAAAGGTAAATTATTAAAAATGATAAAACGTTAATTGCAAGTTGCAAGTGAATGCGTAAACCGTATGTGCACACATATCTCAACAATGAATGGCCTCGTAAAATTCGTAAAGATGAAAAACTCGCGCGTTTATTATTATTATTATTATCGTTCTAAACATGAAATTTCCTAGTTTTATCTAGTTTTTTTTGTATTATTTATTATCACTATTTTATATATCTAATTTGTTTTTCTTTCAATGTAATAATATAATAAATTGTGGGAACGCAAGAGTCGTTCCATGGTTAAGGAAGAAGAAAAAGAAGATGAAGATGAAGAAGAAGAAGAAGAAGAAGGAAAAGGAATCGACGTGTACGATTGATCGACTAATTATAAGCTCGAGTTCTACTTTGAAGCCTTAAAAATGTATCGGCAAGAAGAGAGAGAAAGAGAAAAAGAGAGAGAGAGAGAGAGACGAACGAATTTGTATTATAAAGTGGTGCTTTCTTCTACGATGCGAAATATTAAAAAGAGAAAAATGAAAATAAAAATAAATAAACAAAGAAGAAGAATTTGTTGCAGTGTTAAACGATAAGAAATAAAAAAGAAAATGAAAGAAAGAGAGAGAGTATGATTGAGTGAGAGAGAGAGAGAGAGAGTATTTGAGTGAATGAATAACATTGTATTATTATTAGGCTTAAACATATTTTTAAAACTGGATGTGTTGTATCCTAGCACTTTAGCGTCCAACTTCCGTGAAAACGAAACCTAGAAAAAAGGAACAAAATAAAATAAAATATAAAGAGAAAAAAAAAGAAAATATAAAAAAAAAAAAATTAAAATAATAAGAAGAAATAAAATTCTCATACTACTGCCATTTAGCAGAATATAACTCTTAACGAACTGTAATGCGACTATCGATGATAAAAAACCGTGTAAAATCCGGGATTTGTCTACTACGGGCGGTTTACGCTATTTGTTTGTTAATCGCGTTCGCACACACGATATATACATTATAAATATATAT